AAAAATTGTGACTTATATGATACAATTGCATTATGCTCCCTAGATGGTAATGCCGGCAGGTCACTAAATTTCTAGTACTTTAAGATGAATCTCATTTAATCTCCAGCGGATGGCAGTCTTGTTTAGTATAATACAATGCACTCTGTGGTTATGGTACTTGGCGTGTTCTTTTCAGGTAGGACAGACAACTGACCCAGCCTGTTAGTGTACACAGTGTTGGCTAAGCATGCATATGTCTGCCATGCCTGTTAGTGTACACAGTGCTGGCTAAGCATGCATATCTGTGCCATGCCTGTTAGTGTACACAGTGCTGGCTAAGCATGCATATGTCTGCCATGCCTGGTAGTGTACACAGTGCTGGCTAGGCATGCATACGTCTGCCATGCCTGGTGGTGTACACAGTGTTGGCTAAGCATGCATACGTCTGCCATGCCTGGTAGTGTACACAGTGCTGGCTATGCATGCATACGTCTGCCATGGCTGGTAGTGTACACAGTGCTGGCTAGGCATGCATATGTCTGCCATGCCTGGTGGTGTACACAGTGTTGGCTAGGCATGCATATGTCTGCCATGCCTGGTAGTGTACACAGTGCTGGCTATGCATGCATATGTCTGCCATGGCTGGTAGTGTACACAGTGCTGGCTAAGCATGCATACGTCTGCCATGCCTGGTGGTGTACACAGTGCTGGCTAAGCATGCATACGTCTGCCATTTCTGGTAGTGTACACAGTGCTGGCTAAGCATGCACACATCTGCTACGGTACATCTCGCTGGGCTAAACAACCTTCTTCTCTGAAACTGATTATTAGAACAATGTGATATTTAGTACACTCCCCCCAATGCTAAGTCCAAAGTGGGACGGTAAGAAATTAAAGATGTCCGCCACAAGCCAATGACACGTAAGACATCTTCCGCCACATTGATTTGGGGAAAAAAAAAAAGGAAAATTCCTAAAGCTTTGTCAAAATGTATAGATTATTGTGAATACAAATCTCTCATTTATTTCTCTATATAAAAGCTTTATGCGCTTGCTGTGTGATCGCTCTCGTGCTTGGTTCCTCTTAAAGTCAATTCTTCATGTGGTTTGGCAGCAAATTTGAAAAATAAATATTACAGTGCATTAAACAACTGTAAAATAAATAAAAACTATTTTGCAAGTCACAGTTGGACGGTCATATTGGTTTACACGACTAATGTTGCTAAATCTCCAAAATATTTTAAAATGCAAATCTTTGTAATGTCCTTCAATATTGGTAGTATCTATGCAGGTGCTGCATAGATGCAGTTTAATCTGCAGGTTAAAGGACCACTCTAGGCACCCAGACCACTTCCGCTTAATGAAGTGGTCTG